CCCCTCCCTGAGCCAGTGTCCCCTTCTCCACCTCCTCCTGCATCCAGATTTCCTCCCAGAGCTTGCACCTCTCACCCCTTCCCACACCCAAATTCCTCCCCACCCCAGAGCCTACACATCCTGTCTCAACACAGCAAGAGTCCATCTAGACTGCAGGAGTTTTTCAGGATTCTGGAGATATCCCAGAAAAACTCTTCTGCATCAAGGGTTGCGTTTGTTCTTCCGCTTTTTTAGTGGAAGAGCAAACAGGCTCTTTTGGTCACCCTTATATTCCTCCTTCCACAAGGAATAAGGTGGCTTCCAAAAGAAGGGTTTTTTTTCTGATATTTGATCCAGTCTAGACAGGCCAAATGTTGGAAAAACCTCTTCCTACAGAATAATAATAATAATAAAAAAAATAAGCAGCAGTATAAGGATTGGGGATAGCAAGTGATGGAGAGGAGGAGAATAGAGAGGGCAGGGCTTCAAGGAAGGGGCGGGGCAGTAGATCTTGGCTTGGTCTGTCATTTAAAAAGTGATCTTGGGTGTAAAAAGGTTGGAGACCACTGCTCTAGTGCCTCCTGTTGGTACTCACAAATCTCCCCAAGCAGCAGCTGAAAACTTCTTGACAGACTCACCACTGCCTACAACATTCAGAATAGTAAGAGTGAACAGATCTGTGTTATTGGTATATGCAGTGGTGTTATAGCCATTTCAGTTCCAGAATATGAGATGCACAAGGCAGAATAGGTAATATCCGGAATAAGAGATACACACTCAAAAGCTTGTCTCTCTCACCAACAGAAGTTGGTCGATCTAATAAAATACTACATTACCTACCTTGTCTCTCGGGGTTACTGATGTCTTTCTAATACTGTTAGGCAAAGCTAGGAGAAGCAGGGGAAGCACTAGAAGTATTAGTAGGTTCACTTTGCAACCATAAGATTTAGGAAAGTAGTTTGACAAAATGAAATCTTCAGTTTCATGAATTTATGACACTTCCCAACAAAAAGACTTCCAACTTATCACTAACATGTATGTATTTCAAGCACCAATGATCAGGCAATTTCACTAATTCACAAGATATATATTTAAAGATTTAAAAACTAGAGAGGTACCATTATTCTCATTCTCACAGCCTGCAAGGGAACTTTCCAAAAAACAAAAACAATACTACAACAGTACATTCTGAAATGTGTCTGAGCAATGAAAAGATTTGGTTTGAGACAATGTTGAGCTTTGGTTTGTAAAAGCCATCATTTCATCCCTAGCTTAACATTTCCTGACGGGGGCCCAAATCCTACTTCCCTTACTCTCTTAAGTGTTCTCCTGAGAAGAGTTCTGCTCAAGTCACTTGAGTGAGGCTGGCAGAATTTGGTCCTTAATCAAAACCGAACTTCTTTTAAAAAATAAAGTCTTAAAATTTCAGAGAGGAATACTATCTACATACAGGACCTAATTTCTCCACATCAGAAAAGAGCAAGAGCATATAAAATATATTAAAGGAAAAGCCAAAATGGAAAGAATGAGGTATAAAAAGACTAATGGCAAAACAAACCACAAGCTACAAATAAGGGAAAGCTTTTTTTTCCTTAGCAAAATCACATTCAGGTCTGAATACGTAGTATAGCATCTCTAGTATTCTTTACTATTTAAATTTCACTACAAAAACACAGCCTGTTTTCTATCTGTCCTTCCACACCCACCAAAATATTCTTAAAGTGATAAACGCATTAGTACATCCCTATGTAAAATTCTAACATTAGTAAGCACATTTCTGTCTTCTCTACTTCATCACCATTATCAAAAGCCAATTCATTGGTCTGGACTGCCTGTAGAATCTGCATCCTTATGACTTCTATTTTCGTCTTGCTGTCCTGGAGCATCTGTTGAGCTGTAGCAAGAAGTTTTCGATCCTATTAAAAAAAAAAAAAAGGGGTGGGGTGGGGGGGAGGAGTTTTAAAATGGAAACACTTGGGATGGCAAAGAGGTAAAGATGAAACCCAGTTAGCAGCCATTGATATTTATTCCCAAAGCATGAAGTGTTTAAAATTTGCAAAGTGCAAATCTCCTACCAAATTCACAATCCATTTTGGTTAATAGTCAAAGGGTTTAAAAATGGGTCAGTGTAATGTTTTCAAATGTTTACATCTGAAATTGAATGGTAATGTAACTGTAGGTGGCAAAGAGGTAAAGATGAAACCCAGTTAGCAGCCATTGATATTTATTCCCAAAGCATGAAGTGTTTAAAATTTGCAAAGTGCAAATCTCCTACCAAATTCACAATCCATTTTGGTTAATAGTCAAAGGGTTTAAAAATGGGTCAGTGTAATGTTTTCAAATGTTTACATCTGAAATTGAATGGTAATGTAACTGTAGG